TATTTCTGTAGATATATTTTTAACACAAATAAAATTGTGCTTGCTGAACTGCATTTGGAATATAAAGGTATTTTTTTGCAGTCAAGTTACTGAAATAGCTATTATTCAAGTAAATTGACTACAAAAAATTACCTTTGAAAAGAGAAGTTTAAAGTTATATTAGCCGTAACTTCATTTGCATTAATTATTCTAGATAATCCTTTCGTAACTTCGAAAATTGCTTTATTAGGACCTGCACCACCCCAATGGGTCTTAGAGTTTGAGGAACGAAACGCGGCCTCTATAGAACGGCAAACGGCTATCCTTGAACAGATGGCGCGAGATGTATCGCGATCTGCAGACGTCATGGAACGTATGGCGCAGGAAATGGCGACTGTTAGACAACTATTGAGTAAGGTTTGTGTATATAATCATCAGACTATTAATTCGTCTAACTGTGGCCACAATTCCAACACGTACAAAGAAATATGGTGACTCAATTCTTTATTGCATTATCCGTAAATGGAATGCTCTGCCTGCTCACGTGTTCCCTCCTTCTTACAACCTGGGATCCTTTAAAAGAGGCGTGAAGAAGCAACATGCCGGCCGGCAAGGTGAGGATGGCTGGTGTGGCAGGTAGAACTGCTGTACCAGCTATCTTCACTTCACCATTAACATCAGGTGCGGTGAAGTCATTTGTCGGACCTATCTATAAAAAAACCCCTCACTCATAGACAATACTGGACCAGTTGGTTCTAGAAACGGCAAACGGCTATCCTTGATCAGATGGCGCGTGATATGTCGCAATCTGCGGACGCTATCGCGCGTATGGCGCAGAAATGGCGGCCGTTCGACAATTATTCAGTAAGATTTGTGTATATAATCATCAAGCTTAACGACCTCCGTGGCCGAGTGGTATGTACGCCGGGTTTCATGGTGTCGCTAACTCGAGAGGTCCCGGGTTCAAATCCCGGTGGGGGCAGATGTTTGTGTGATGAATACGAGCATTTGTACTCCAGTCATGAATGTTTAATATGTATTTTCTTTATAAAACTTCTTATATATGTATCAGTATATGTATTTTATCCGTTATCCTAGCATCCCATAACACAAGCCTACAGTGCTTACTTTGGGGCTAGGCTAATTGGTGTGAGTGTTGGAAATATTTATTTATTATTTGTTAACCTATTAATGGCTACTCATAGACTGAGAATATTGGGCCAATTGGTCATAGAAACGGCAAAGGGTTACCCTTGAACAGACGGCGAGGGATATGTTGCGATCTGCAAACGCCATGGCGCGTATGACGCAGGAAATGGCGGCCGTTCGACTACTACCGAGTAAGGTTTGTGTATATAATCATCAACCTATTAGTGTCCCACTCATAGACAGAGAATATTGGGCGAATTGGTCCTAGAAACGACAAGCGGCTATCCTTGAACAGATGGCGCGGGATAAGTCGCAATCTGCAAACGCCATGGAACGTATGGCGCAGGAAATGGCGGCCTTTCGACTACTACCGAGTAAGGTTTGTGCATATAATCACCAGCATAATGTTCCACTCATAGTCACAGAATACTGGCCCAAATTGTCCTAGAAACGGCGAACAGCTATCCTTGAACAGATAGCGCGGCACATGTCGCGCTCTGCAGACGCCATGGAGCGTATGGCGCAGGAAATGGCGGCCCTTCGACAACTATTGAGTAAGGTTCAGCCAGGTAGTTTTCGCCTTCATCCATAAGCACTCATCCTGAGAGCGATCTTAAGTACGATCTTGAGATGCTGTTTTGTATGAAAACATTATCTCAAGATGGTAGTCGCAGAGTTGAGAGCTATCTATTAATACGGGTCCTAATGGGTTAAGAATTATTATTTATTGTTTCAAACTTTCATGGTCACTAACAGTATAGTAATATAAGTTATTTACGTGATTGTTACCATGTACTTTGTTTATAGCGAGTTTCAGATATTTCGGCACTGTTGTAAGCGCCATGATCACGGAGTAACTGAAGTAATTGTGGGCAGGCCGTTATTGGCAGACATATAGGTCTTCCCTCCGACGAAGTCTTGTTCACATTCTCACTATTCACTCGAAACTGTTTTCGACACACAACAGTGTCGGATCGCGACACGACACATTTTTGATTATTTCGGTGTTTACACATACCAATCACAGGATTCCAGACACTCGACATATTTTTGATTCTTTCGGTGTTTACACATACCAATCACAGTATTCCAGGCACTCGACAATTTGAAACCCGTCCTCGCGATTGTTTTTTTATGTTTTGTTTTTTTAATAGCTTCCCTGACCAATCTTGGTATGTAGTTCTGACGAGATAGTCTGTCATGGAACTCAATCCGATATATTGGAAACTCGCTAAAAACAAGGTACATGGTAACAATCCCTTAAAATAACTTATATTACTATAAGAATTATTATTGTACAGTACACATCACATCTTAAAACATTACAATCAATTATGTCCTCAATATTCCGTTGCACAAATAGACATTTATTGAATTTATTAAAGAAAAAAGATTGTGACTAAGAACTCACGGAGCTATTTTTTTCCCCGTCGAGCGCAGATTAATTTTAAAACTCTCTAGATAGCAGTTTTCTGCGGTCCCGCAGTCGCCGCGCGAGATTGGGCGAAGCCACGGCACGATTTACACCTGCAGAGCGCGCGGGTGTTTGTGACACCTGCTGAGGGCGTAAATCGCGCATGAAATTTGCTTTTGCGTTATACCTATAATTTTAAATTTGTTGCGGTCCTGCAGCCGCGGCGAGCGGGGGAGAACATCGCCTTTATTCCCATTAGTTCTATTAACAGAACAAATAGGATTTGAGTTCCCACTAGTTCTGTGAATAACTTTGCCTATAAAAAACTAAGTTTGGAAATGAAAATAATCCGGTTAAATTAGTTCAGTCAACAGAACTGTAAGTTCTTAGCCTAAAAGTCATTTAAAAAACTAAATGAGATTATTTTCTTACAGGACCGCCATGATGATAGTGGGGGCAGACTGGCCACGCAATCAGAGGAGTCGAAAGACAGAAATTTAACCAGACGGTTTGAAATGGCGGAGGAGAAGCATTTCTTGGAAATGGAAACTCACAAAGAAAACCTCAAACATGCTCAATTGGAACGTAAAATCTCCGAAGAAAAGTTACGAAGGATATTATTAACTAATAAGATTGACAAAACAGAAAAATAAAACATGCGTTTTAAAAATTTATTCTGATTTGCACCCAAACATTCTCATCCTCATCATCTTCCATCGTCTGGATGCGAATGTCACTGGTTCGAATCGAGTCTGATCCCTTGACTCAGTAGATTTTATTTTGCCAGTAAGGTAAAAACCCTGCTCGTATGCATTTAATAGTCGGCTTACATGCAGTTTTGATAATCTCCAGAAGGAAGAAGTTGGGCCAATTCAATGATAGTACGTGCAGTACAGCGCTGCCGTATTAATAGGGCTTATTCGATTTTTTTTATTGCCATTTTACCAGAAAACACATATTGATAAATTGTCGAAGAGACTTAGCTCTGCAGCCTACACAGCAGTGAAGATACGCCAATTAACTGACGTAGATACTGCTCGATTAGTATATTTCAGTTTTTATCATAGTTTGATGTCGTACAGTATTTAGCTGTGGGGAAATGCTGCAGACATTCAAACTATTTTTGTGCTGTAAAAGCAGGCTGTTCGATCAATTTACGATCTTAAGACTGGAGACTCTTTTAGAGAAAATTTTAAAGAAATCGATATAATGAATGTTCAGTACGTTTATAAAAAAAAATATGTATGTTCTAAAAATATTACATTATTTCCCATAAATAGTGACAAGCACTCGCTTAATACTAGAAATAAAAGTAAATTTGCTGTACCAATTACAATGCTCCACAAAATCAATAATTCATATAAAGGTCTTTGTGTACGCTTCTACAATAAAGTCCCTAGTAGTATCAAAAATCAAGCGTCAATCATTTTTAAGCTTGCATTAAAAGAGTTCTTATTAATAAAGCCTAATATAAAGTGTCTGATTTATATTTCAGTCAAAATGCTTGGGTTCAAACCGTTCCAAACGTTCCGGCAGGCTTTTTCTATAATTATGAAGCTGATATGATTTCGTATTGACACCGAAACAATATAATATTTTGTAAATATGTTAACATAATTATTTAACGCTGTGAAGTTTTTTCGTCAGCTTTTTTCTGGTGGTAGGGAAAAAATATGGACGATTCAAAAGAGTTTTATTGTGTATCTAATCTGAATAAAGATATTTTGAGTTTTTGACTTTTGAATAATATTATATCATATATATAGCTCGAAAGAGATACCGCAAGTGTTACCTATATATTTCGCATACCACAAACCTGTCAAAAGGGTCACCAACAGCTCCATTATTTCTTCGCGACACCATTCTCGTCACTGGATGACAATTGCAATTTCTAAAAAAATTGTCTAATTGTGCCAAACAAGAGGTACAAATAATAGAATTGAAACGGATGTCCTGAGTCCATGCTTTTCCGCTACCAATCTTTTTCTCAAGATATAACTTGTTTTCATAAAAGCTAAACCAGATGAGTCTGCTTAAATCTAGATCTGTTTATGTTATTGCCCCCACTTCAGTTTTTATTATTCCCTTTTGCCTCCGGTCCGGTGGCAGTCCCCGCGGGGAGGACTAGGAATAAAGGTCACTAAAAAGGAGAATCTCAAAGGCGCGGGTGCCTAGCGCCTTCGGTTGTGATCGTTTAAATTATGCAACTTTCGCAGTGGTCGGTCATTGGATGAGTGACCAAAAATCTTCTATCACGAGTTCCTCCGTGCTTCAGAAGACACGTTAAGCCGTTGGTCCCGGCTGCATCTGCAGTCGTTAGCACCCGCTAATCCGTTGGACCCGCGTGGTGGGTCATGGCCCTATCTCCCTATTCCAACCATAGGGAAGGCCTGTGCCTCAGCAGTGGGGACATTAATAGGCTGATGATGATGAAAAAGGTGTGAAGATAGCCACGTACCTGCGCGCGGCCAGTGAAGTGAAGCGCGTGCAAGGCGGCCCGCACGTCGCCGCGGGCGCGCGTCGCTAATGCGGCCAGAACGTGCGGCGCCGCGGCTATGTTTTCGCTGGCGGCCACGCGGGACAAGCGTGAAGATAGCCGCGATAGAGACACCCCGCCCACTTGCACTACCAGCGCCACCGGCCTGGTGAACGAATAATTTGTTCGTTTGATTCATGGTGGCCTATTCGCTAACTTTTTTGACATTTACAGTGTGAAGCTAAAGAGAAAATTGCATATCAATCGATGTTTTCCAAGACAATTAGTTTAAATTGATACAGTAGCTGGCGACAGTCCAGCTGGCATGGCAGCACTGGATCCATGTAAACATTTTTTGGCGCCAAGACTGGCATGGAGTAGCAGGCCTTCCTAACATTCCCCTGTTTAAACACGTTCACGCCAGTTGCTGGCGCCGCCGCTATATGTCACCGAAGTGCTTGAGTGAGTTCAAGCACTTCTTGATTGGGACACATTTTGAGCCTCGTGGTGTATCTAGGGTATTTAATATCGTTGTGAGAGACTGACAATATAAAAGCTAAAATTTAATTTGATCAAACAGTTTTGAAACTACAGAAGGTATATTGCCAAGTGAGAAAAGATCTTACCGTAAAGGCCTTAACGATGTTGCATACAAATCGTTGCATATGGCGATCACTGGCCTCTTCAAAGGTTGAGATTTAGTTTTCTTCTTGCCCTCAGCCACTGCCACAGTGCACCATTTCACTAACAACTCGACTGTGGGCAGCGGCGCACCGTCTATTTCATCTGTCAGTATTAAATAAATCAATGTTAAAATTTATTAAATGAAATGGACTTCATAAAGTATTTCGTTATTAAACCAATGTTTCAATTTGACATCTCTGTACATAACAATCTACACATATAATCAAATGGTAGGAAATTCAAATGTTTTTAAAAGAATACTGGGTCAAAAATATAGTTTTTAGAATTTTTGTCTGTTTGTCTGTATGTATGTCCGGGATAAACTCAAAAAGTACTGCATGGATTTACTTCAAATTTGGCACGAATATTATTAAGAAGTTGCGTTCAACATATAGGCTATATATTATTACGCTATCACCTATTGGGAACGAGCAGTGAACCTGTATTTCTAACTAACTCCACGCGTACGAAGTCGCGGGCGGCCGCTAGTAATACAATAAGAAAAAAGCAGCCCTTGCCGCTTCTTTACAGTACAAGGTCTCCACCGTAGATTTTTATAATTGCATGTAACAGCCTAAGCTGTATAAACGATATTGAATTGAATTTGATAATCCAACATAATGATAGTATATAATAGAAAAAAGTGGTGTGACTTTATAAATCTAAAAGTTGAATGCATAAAATAAAAAGTAAGTATTTTAAATTAATAGAAAGGATCTTAAAGTAAGTCAACCGCGAAACCGCGAAATATTTGACCTCTGTATTAGATTACCCCTCTCTTGACTTTATGTTCAAAGGTAGTATGTGACAAAACTGATCTGTGTTCGATCCCAGCCTGACAATGTAAGGATTTCTTTAATCCTGAAAAATCATGTAATTTAAAGCTTGAGCTTAATGAAAATAAGGGCTTACCTAAAATAAGACAGTTTGGTCTCTTATCGGCGTCGAGCACGGATCGCATGAGTGTAGCATTCTGCAGAGCTGTCCTAAACGCTTCGGTGCTTCTCTCGTCCGAAGCGTTTAACTCCACGGGCCTATAACCTAGGGAATAATGTTATCTTAGTAATATAACTCTTTTATATAACTTCTAGCAATTATATATCAAACCAAGTGTTTTTTGGAGGTTATTTTCCCTTACTCCAACTTTCTGCTTGTAAATGACAACGCGCCTTTTTAAAGTATTCACTTAAAACATAAGGATAATTATTATTAAAAAAATGTCTACCTCAACAGCCTATAGTGAATTTCTTGTCGACCCATCTCAGAACTTGATCGCTTTCCAAGAAAACCAGCTTCTATATGACCTAGGGTAAGTGTTTGTGGTAGCTTTGTTTTTTTTATTACTGAACAGTGAAATGAAGAAGAGCAGAGTATGCTTTGATTATATACACCTAGATACCGTATTAACTACACGGAAGAGGCACAAAAAATATCTACTACATATTATTATGGTAGATATATTCGTCGATACCCACGCACCCATTGATAGATTTAGTATAATCTGATATTAGAGTCACGCACTCATTGCGAGTAACATGAGCCGTTTTCTTTGCCTGATTTATTAGGATTGCTCTATTTAGGTGTATATATAAATCTTATTATATAAATTCTCGTGTCACAATGTTAGTTACCATACTTCTCCAAAACGGTTTGACCGATTTTTATAAAAAAATATATGCATATTCAGTACGTCTGAGAATCAGACAACATTTATTTTTCATTCCCCTAAATGTTAAGGATGGTCCATCATTAAATTTTTGTTTTGACATTATTTTTGTTTTTATTTTTTTATGATACATCATACAAAAATACATACAACCCTAAATTGTCATCCTTCTACCACCCATATTTTTATGGCGATACGAAGCTCGCTGGCTCAGCTAGTCTTATATATAAAATTCTCGTGACACAATGTTAGTTACCATACTCTTCCGATTTTTTTATGAAATATATGTGCCACTGAATATAGTGGGTATGAGAATCTGCTACTATTAATTTTTCATAGCCCTAAGTGATGTGAGTTGTCCACCCCTAACATTTTCAAACCCCAAATATAAAAATTTTTGGACTATATTTTTTATATTGTGGCATTAAAAAATACTTATAACCCTTTTATGGCGATACGAAGTTCGCTGGGTCAGCTAGTAATATATATAAATAACCAAAGAGAGAGAAGCTCGATGGCCTAGGTGGTTAGCGCGTTCGGCTGCGATCATTGAAGTTAAGCAACTTTCGCAGTGGTTGTTCATTGAATGGGTGACCAAAAATCTTCTATCTCGAGTTCCTCCGTGCTTCGGAAGGTACGCTAAGCCGTTGGTCCCCGCGGCATCTGCCGTCTTTAGCAACCGCCAATCCGCACTGGGCCCGCGTGGTGGGTCATGGCTCAATCTCCCTATTCCATCCATAGGGAAGGCCTGCCCCAGCAGTGGGGACATTAATAGGCTGATGATGAACCAAAGATTGTATGAGATGTATTCCAGTAATTAAACTACTTACCAGCGATTCTAGCCAGCAAATGTGCAAGTGTAGTCTTCCCGACACCAGGAGGACCGCATAGTAGCGCCACCTGTTGAATTAATTAATTAGTGGTTTTATAATACACTCATTCACACATCAATTTCCCTAAAAATTTCGAATTTTCTCAACAGATAAACGTAACCAAAACTAGATAAAGCTCAAAATCGGATGGCAAAAATGTTCAGTTGTAAGCAACTTGACGAGGCTGCTTGTTCATATTTGAAAAGTTCAAAAATACAACCAGTAACTTTAGCTCTAATGTGTTTGACATTTGTGCAGTCGACCATAGATTTATATTATACATTAAAGTACGTTAATGTATTGTAATGAGTAGTAAAAGGTTACACAAAGAAAGTACATTTTTAAACCTTTTTTTCATTTAAGTATAATTATGTGTCGTGTCTTCGTTAGTGTGTAGAGTAATATGGCAAATCATTTTTTTTTAAATCCTATGGATTTTGCGAAAACGCGCATAATTAGACAATGGCAATAACATTTCACAATCTTACCGAAAAGATAGTTTTTGCGAAAACGCAAGTCGCCTCAGGATAATAATTTATTCTTGTTTTTTTAGGTTCTTGAATTCACACTTGGTTAGATTAGGTTGGTGTCGTAACCATGACGCGCGAACCGAGCGAGCTTAGCGAACGTCATCGCCATTGTTTAATTATCTGCGTTTTCGCAAAATGCCTAGGATTTTCACGAAAAAAAACGATTAATCGAATCATCCTACGACATATGCACCTTGTGGTGAGGGCGACCATCTTCATCCAACTCAGGTTCCAAGTCGCGTTTGCCTCGCCAATTATTACTCAGTTGGAATTGCCCGGTGCGTTTGCTGAAACTATTTCGTTGCTGAGGCTCGGCTGTCTTCACTTCTTTCTTGAACACTACCTGGATTTTATTACATTATTTTATGAATTACACACATAAGAGTTATAACAATATATTAAACTTATTTTTTATTTTTTTTAAAGCATCTAACTGCTTGATGTTTCAATCTAAAGAAAATATAACTAGAAAAAATTCCACGCGGACCAGGCAGCAGACGGGACTCGAACCCGCACCCTTCGCTATCCGGGCGAATGCACTGACCAATTATGCTACCGCAGCCCTAACGGACCGCGTTGAAATTTTTCTAGCAATTCTTAAGCTGCAAGGCAGCACCATCTCTTCACATTATAGGTAACCCACAATGTCACCCACAAATATATTAAACTAATAAAATTCAAAGGTTAAATTACAATTTCACAGATATGTTCTACACAAACCTAGTATTTAGTTACACAAACAGATGCAATTTTATTAGATTTTCATCATTTATTTATTTTATAACTAATTTAGTATACACATCCTAACTGCCAAATAAATAAATGACAAAGTGAGTTTGTTTACGCTTTCACGCAAAAACGAATGAACGGATTTCGATGAAATTTGGTACGCATATAGTTTATGACCTGGATTGAGACATAGGATCCTTTGTAGAGGAAAAATTTTATCCGTGCGGTGACGGAGAAAGAATACCACTCACCGCCCCTTCACTTCCCGCGGGTGTCGTAAGAAGCGACTGAGGGATATCAGAGCTTCCATCTGCTCTCTTGGTGGTAGGGTGCCTAACACCCGCCTGGTTTGTTACCACCGTACGCATGGTGAAAAACCCGTGAAGTGCTTCACGCGCGTTTCGGGATCAGCCAGCGTACAACCAGAGCTCGAGTGGAGATTGCCGCGACAGATTCGGTCCAGTGGAGGCATCCGTCGAACCGATGCCGGGAGGACTGCATCGACCCACCGGCCAGGGAGACCCGTAGAAACGGCTGTCCCGCTGGCCGCCCGTGGCACAGTACAGGGGCCCGAGCGTTCCTAACCAGTTCGTGAGGCTGCCCTATCATGTCACGCATAATCTCGGGGTGGACCGTCGTGCCGGTTGGTGACCGGGGCGTGGGGTCCCGGCGGCCACTCCCGGGAGGGTGCGGGGGCCCTTCCGTCCGTTGGGTCGGCGTATCTCTTTCGCAGGCAGTTACTCGGGAAAACGTGCCTCCATATATTTGCCTGTCTTTGTCGCGACTAACTCCACTCGATTCACGTCTCTCAACTTTTTTCTCATGATGGCAGCCCGTAAAATAAAGTTTGGTTGTACAGCGGTGCACACCCCCACGCCTTCCGCGCTGTTTGAGGTTGAGTTCTGTAATATACGCGGACTCCACTCTAACCTCAATGCTGTCCACCACCATCTTGAGACAGCACGGCCAGCACTATTGTTTCTCACGGAGACACAAATACTTCCGCCCGCTGACACAGGCTACCTTAAATATCCCGGCTACGCGCTTGAAGAATCCTTCAAAGCAAAAGCCGGCGTATGCCTGTATGTTCGGGCGGATGTTTGTTGTCGCCGTTTGAGCTGCCTGGAAGACCCCTCCTTTTCCATGTTGGCGGTACATGTAGACTCTGGTCCTTTGGCCAGAGTCTACGTGTGCCTCTACAGATCTCACACCGGCGACGCTGAGACAACTCGACTGTTTGACCACCTCAGTAGGGTAGCAGATGATGCCCAGGCGCAATTTCCCAACGCAGAACTGGTGTTTTTGGGAGACTTTAACGCCCACCACGGTTTGTGGCTTGGCTCTTCCAAAACTGACCATGCAGGGATCTCTGCCCATGCATTCGCTCTCACGCACGACCTGACACAACTGGTTGATCAGCCCACCAGGATCCCAGATATAGCAAGTCAAGCGCCTTCTTTACTAGACCTTCTGCTTACGACCCATCCGCAGGAGTATCAGATTGTGGTTCGAGCCCCACTGGGTTCATCAGACCATTGCCTGATATCTGTCAAGGTGCCACAGGCCAAAACCCCTCGACCATTGGTGGTCAAACGCAGGGTCTGGCACTATGGGTCGGCAGATTGGGATGGTATGCGCGATTACTTTGCGTCTGTCCCTTGGAAGCAGCGCTGCTTCAATGAAAAGGACCTATCATCCAGTGCCGTTGCCATTACTGAGGAGATCGTAATGGGAATGGAGTATTACATTCCACATTCTGATCTCATCAGTAAGGGCACACGTAACCGCTGGTTCAATCGCGATTGTGCCGATGCTGTTTCTCGTAAGCAGGCGGCATATCGCGCTTGGATCAGAGGCCGCGCTCTTAAGGATCCCGGGGTTAACTCACTGAAAGCTGCCTATAATAGTGCTTCCAAGTCTTGTAAGAAGGCTTACATCAGAGCGGATGCCCAACGTGTAGCACGTACTGGCCACGAATTGTTAACGCACCCTACGGGCTCCCGTAGTTTTTGGCGTTTGGCTAAGGCCGTGCAACACAACTTTTGCCAGCCCTCGCTGCCACCTCTGCGATGTCCAGATGGGTCACTAGCTCATGAGCCGCAAGAGAAAGCCGATTTGTTGGCAAAGCTCTTTGCGGCTAACTCCCGAATCAGTGATTGCAATGCACTGCCACCTACACTACCCCATTGTGGCACTACGATGCCTGACATTAAAATCAGGCAGCGTGATGTTCGTGCGGAATTGCAATCACTCGACGTCCGGAAAGCTAGTGGACCCGATGGCATCCCAGCAGTTGTTCTAAAACATTGTGCAGCGGAGTTGTCTCCCGTGCTTACGCGACTGTACCAACTCTCTTACTCTTTGGGGCGTGTGCCGGAAGCTTGGAGAGACGCCAATGTGCAACCGGTGCCCAAAAAAGGGGACCGCTCAGACCCGGCCAACTATCGGCCGATAGCTGTCACCTCAGTGTTGTGTAAAGTCTTAGAAAGGGTCCTTAACAACCATCTGACCCGCTACCTAGAAGATTACTCTCTAATTCACGATCGTCAATACGGATTTAGGCCGAATCGATCGACGGGTGACCTTCTAGCGTACGTGACACACATCTGGGGTGAAGCTATAGACAAGCGGGGAGAGTCTCTGGCTATTAGCCTTGACATCGCCAAGGCTTTTGACAGGGTCTGGCACAAGAGCCTTCTCTCCAAGCTTCCTGCATACGGTCTGCCTGCTCAGCTCTGCGCCTGGGTAGCTGACTTCCTGCGTGAGCGTAGAATTCGCGTCCTTACGGACGGATGTAGTTCGCAGTTCATGTCAGTGAATGCCGGTGTTCCTCAGGGTTCCGTTCTATCCCCCACACTCTTTCTGCTGCATATCAATGATTTGATTCCACTTGCGAATATTCATTGCTATGCAGACGATAGCACAGTGCATGCGAGATACTTTGGACACGCGGCGGCTGGACAGGTAGAAACCATGGAGAAACGGGAGAATCTTGTCGTTGAACTCAATCGGGCTTTGGACCACATTTCCGAATGGGGTACTAGGAACTTGGTTGAGTTCAATGCCAAGAAAACTCAGGCTTGCGCTTTCACGGCAAAAACATCGCCATTCCTTCCCCTTCCCTCTCTTCAGGGCACAACACTGGCGCTACAGAGCAATATTACCATGCTCGGTATGGAAGTTCGCTCAGACCTGAATCCCTCAAATTCACGCAAACTCGGAGTCCTGAACAAGGTGCGGCGTTTTTTCACGCCCGATCAACTGTGCTTGTTGTACAAAACACAAGTGCGGTCCTGTGTGGAATATTGCTCGCACCTCTGGGATGGCTCCGCAAAGTACTTACTCGATGCCTTGGATAGGTTGCAGCGGCGCGCTGCCCGCATCATTGGCGATGAAGAGGCAACTAAGAAACTCGAGTCTCTACAATTACGCCGTGATGTGGCATCATTAAGCGCATTCTACCGAATATACCACGGCGAGTGTTCTGAGGAGCTATTCTTGCTTATCCCTCCATCACCTTTTCTTCAGAGGACCACGCGCGCTGGCCTACGTTGCCATCGACTTACTGTGGCCACTATTCCTACACGAACAAAGAAATTTGGCGACTCATTTCTTTGTCGTACTATTCGTAAGTGGAATTCTTTACCCGCGCACGTGTTCCCTCCTTCCTATAATCTGGGGTCCTTTAAGAGAGGCGTGAAGAAGCATTTTTGCGGGCCGGCAAGGTGAGGATGGTTGGTGTAGCAGTTAATAACTGCTGTACCAGCTATCTTCGCGTTTGGACTTTATCACCACTTAACATCAGGTGGGGTAGAGTCATTTGCCTACCTAGTAATATAAAGAAAAAAAAAAAAAAAACAATAGGTTTAGGGATTTGAAAATAATTAAGTTAACGCGGACGAAGTCGCGGTCGGCCGCTAGTAATAAAATAAACAAGGAATAGTGGATGGAGTTTGGTCCCATGTACCAATCTCTTGTCTTACTGCTTATTTCACACTAAAATAAAATTTCGTTATTAAATATAATTGCCTATAATCTCCACTTATAAATATCCCCACTGCTCTAAACACAGGCCTTCCCTATGGAACTTTATAGAAGACTGCCTCTTTTATTTTCAGTGCTTTAAAATATTTAAATAACTGCCTTTAAAATATTTTCCAGTAATAAAGTATAAGATGAAACTTGATTTAATTCAGTCTATGTTGAAGTTAAAATGATGTACATATATACATAGCTACTAAATATATGGAAACATCAAAAACAGAAATACCAACTTTATCCCACAAATGCAGCCAATGTAAGAGTGCTCTGTTAACGGGCTCCTCAGATAACAGATCTTTGTATGACTTTGGTTTATATTTCTCCACCCATAGGTTATTGCTGTTGACATCAACTATGACTTCAGGTAGGAATTCCTGGGACTGTTGTATCTGTTCATTCTCTAGTTTCCTTTCTAACTAAAATTTAAAAAAGAAAAAATCCATTATTAACATTTTATTAATTTACAATACAATTTTCTAATAGAAGAATACAATTTGATATAATCTAATAGAAGTTGTAATAGAAACAAACATTTACCTTTTTAGTCATAATTTTTATTTATTAAGCATGTAACTGCTCGATGTTTAAAAGCCAATTTTGAGGAATAAACATGCATATATACTTGTTCAAAACAACCTTTCGCATATATGCAAACAACCATTGCATTAGCGGGTAAAAAGGTAAATTTAAATCATGAAGCTGTAATAGCTGTGGTTTTATTTGCAACTTTTGATAGTTTATGCAGAGCAAAAACAAATGAACTTATTTTATTGCTAATTTTATTTATATGTTCCTTCCAATTTAAAAATGGTTCTATTATTAATCCTAGGAAAAACATTATTTACATGTCAAATTATTTTATCTTTAGTGTCAACTGTTTTATTTTTATAATTATTAAAATACATTAAATTAGTTTTGTCCAAGTTAAATTGTAAATTACTTTCTCAATGCCATTTGACTATAGTTATCAGTATGTTCATAATTTCAGTTTGATGTACCTTTAAGGAAGCGCCTTTATCCGACGTTACAATAACTGATACATCAGCAGCAAAGAGTATTGTCTTATGCTTTATAATTTTAGAAATCATTTATGAACAGCAAAAATATACGCGGTCCAAGAACACTTCCTTGAGGAAGGCCCGAACATTTTTCTTCTAAATCGGACTTATAAAGTGTGTTCTACTTGTTTCAAATCCAGTTGTTTTGTCTCTACAAATTGAGTACGATTTTTTAAATATATCTCTATCCAACTTAAAGCGGGACTCCTAATCCCATGGTTTTTAATTTATAAATTTAGTAATTTTCGCACTGAATTGGGCAGTTTTGATTGAAAATTAAAAAAATGTAATTTGAGTGAATGCTTAATTATACTGTTTTGTTCGCCAGCTACTCATATATTGTTACAATGTTTTACTAACCATTTGTCTAGCTTCTTCCCATGTTTTGATGTACAGGGAATGCAAATTACGATGATCTGTTGATATATCCAAGCATTGATCCCATGCATCTTCTGATTCAAGCTTTACATAAACTCTGTCTCCATCTGAATTTGTAAGGGGCATAAAAGCCCACCTGAAAATGAAATTTTGAAATTTGGTAATTAACGTAAAGCATCTAAGTAAAATAACTCTACCTGTTAGAGGGTAGGGGATTGGTACAAGGTAGGGGATTGGTACAGGGTAGGCAAGGGTGTGATATTTTTGGTATTGCAAGAACCTATAGGCTATGGTGGCCGCTTAACATCAGGCAGACCATACACTTGTTTGCCACCCTTTAAACATAAAAATAATAATAACCAATGATAACTTTTGACCATGAATATGAGGATTAGAATTTTATTTAAGTTATAATGATCTTTTTTGTTTATTCTATTTACTTTTAGGCAAGAATACAGAGGTAAACAATAACCACATATCATGATAGGTTTCAAAGTCACTAAGCAAGAACAACATAGGTATATTTAAGTCAATAAGGTCCCAAGTCATTTACTATGAATTGAATAAAATTTGAATTAATATGTATACATACCTTGGTATATCTAAAGATAAGTTATCTTTATAATTAAACACTGGTTGGACTTTTCTTTGAGTGTTAGAAGGTTCCAACAACATTTGCCTAAGTTTTCTACTCTCCACAATTTTATTAATCAGATCTAAATCATTCTCTTCCTCAGTTTTTTGCCTTTTACTTGGCAGTTCTATTGTGTCAAAGTCTATGTCATTTATGTCCCCAAACAGTTCATCAGCAGTTCTTTTATTTGTCTGTACAGGGGTTAAGAGAGATTCCATAGGCTGAAGATCTGGAGTTAGTTGTATTTGGCTTAACTGTCCATTGCTCTCCACTGATGTTGAACTAGGAGGTACAGGAAGCTTTTTAGTAATAGGACTTGAGAAATCTAAACTTCTTTTTGCTGGCATTGGTTTCTTTCTAACAACATTAGGCTCTGTAAAAAACAATAGACATTCTAGTAGCTCAATAGGTTTAATTCAGGTATGATTCTCAAGCAGTGATTCTTAACATTTTAGTGATGTTAGCATTGGTTCTTAACATTTTAGTAATTTTAGTGATGAGGTTTGTTTGTCAAAATTTCCCTCTTGAAACAGTAACTTAATTCAAAGTCTAGGTCAGTAGCAAATACCTGTACATGGATACCACTGCCCCCAGATGGCCATCTGATCCTAAGGTAAATAAGCCCCTGATTGTGTGAGGTAGTACACAGTACATTCTTACTAATGTTGTAATATTATTTTGAATGGATTTGTGGACTACTTCAGAACCAGAAACCATCAGTTAAGTTTTTTAAATTTAAAAGAAGTGGTTCCACTTCTTCACACACATTTTGCAGCAGTACATCATTAATATGACTTTTTATAGATTAAACTCAGCTTTCATATTTAGTTTTAACTTTCTAAAATTTAGCCCAATACATCTTTTTCAATTCAACATTTATTGCAGACCATAATGGAGATGCAATTGTGGTTATTTTAAACAAACAAAACATACATTATGGGCCCTGTAGGGTATTGCAATTGGAAGAGGAGAGGACATCCTTATAATTCCTTACAGTGACGTAATTTGTAATATCTCGTGTTTAAAACTTAAAAAAAAATATATTAATACTACTCCAATAAGATATTGTATAATGATATTTATGATTGATGTACAATTATTTATTTATACAAGTATTATTTTATATCATATTATAATAAAAATAATTTATTATTTATTATATCTATCCCATAATTGTTTTATCATTTAGGTATTCCTGGAGGCTATAATAGCATTTATTCAATAACATTTAAGTATTTTTTTTAATAAATAAATAGTGTTCTTTCTCATTTTTAAATTTTCAGGTAATATTATCAGCCCTACCCGAGGTCAAAAGCACGAGGTTTTCCTTATTTACAGCATAAAATGGTGAATGAAGACTGTGACAGCTAAAACAACCAGGAAGAGAGGATTTGGAAGTTTCCCGACGCAAATAAGAATTTGGGAAGATTTCTTTTAAGTCACACATACAACGAGTTAGTAAATAAGTTTATAGAAGGTAAGTCACCTATGTCTTCTTCATGGTCTTGCAATAATTCAAGATCGTCGGCATACATAAGCTCGTATTCTTCATCAGGATCGGGATAATCACCCATTTTGCTTAATGCAAGTATTTTTTACTTTTATTAAAGAGGCTTCAATGTAAATTTATTGCGGAAACAAGATTGGAGTAAATCTGATTAGTGCCTTCAAATGAAATAACGTAAAATAAGTTATTGTTTTGTAAACATAACCTAAAAATACGTGAACCTACGGTTGGATTTTGACATTGACACTTTTTTTTAGCTATATTCCCTATTGGGAAAGGCAAAGGCAAAACCATACGGCTGTATGGCTGTATCGTCTTATTTTTGTATTAATCTTCGTGACGCATTCTAATGTTTCTTGAAGTGTGATGTATTAATCTCTATTACTATTTCATCTTTAATTTTATGTAATAATCTCTTAGGTAATGTTTACCTCTGTCATTGACGTATTTTATGCTTTATGTCAGTGCGCAGTCTTTTATGCTGAATAATTTTCCTCTTTATTTATAACAATTTATTCAACATAAAATGTGAAAGATAATTAAATAAAAATGTCTACGCAAGAAAATAAAATGTCCCGCTATCTGCGACCGGATCGTTTCGACTTGGAACCTAATTCGACAGAGGCCGATTTGAAATGGTCGCACTGGCGATTTACTTACGAAAATTTTCTTACTGCAGAATGCACTACCGAAACCATGAATTCCATGAAGCTAAACGTCCTGGTAAATCATTTATCTCCGACAGTGTTCTCGTACATTCGAGGTGTCAAATCGTATGATATCGCTATGAAAACTTTAGAAGAGATCTATGTCAAACCTAAGAATGAAATTCTCTCAAGACATTTACTTACAACCCGCACACAAAAACCTGAAGAAACTGAGTGAGTATTTGAAAGCACTAAATCTTTTGTCACATGAATGTAACTATACCACAGTGACGGCGGAAGAGCACCGAAGTCAATTCATACGTGGCGCATTTATCGCAGGGATCGTCTCACAAAAGATCAAAGAAAGACTTTTAGAAAAGTTGACCTTAAATTTAGATGAAGCTGTCAATTTGGCGATTTCTTTAGAAAGCGCTGTGAAGAATACTCACATAATATCCAATACAGCATTATCTCTAAATGCCTCAACTGGAAATGAATTCGACCTTAACGCAACCACAAGTTCAAGAGTTCCGAACCGGCGTTGTTTCTTTTGCGGCAGTAAATTTCTACATCAGAGGACTAAATGTCCAGCATTCAAAGTTAATTGTCAATTGTGCTCGAGGAAGGGACATTTTGCAAGTGTATGCAGAAGCAAGGAACCACTGACGATCAATACTATGAACGTTGATAGGATATTATCTACTGATTCGGAAAATTCATCTGCAATATTAGCCACTTCCCCGAGTAGTTTGAAGAAGGCCACTATCCCTATCATTATAAATGAATATAAGGCTGATGCACTTATTGATACTGGGAGTTCGGTGAGTTTCATAGATAGAAACCTAGCTCAATCGCTTAAACTAAAAGTAAAGCCGTGTCAACAAACAATTTCGTCAGCATCACTAAGTCATGTATCTTTTGTTGAAGGACTCTGCCATGCTACACTCAAAATAGACGAAAATCAATATCAACAACAACCTCTTCTAATTGTCAACAATATTTGCGCGGGTGTTATTGTGGGTCATCATATACTCAAAACCCATTCCAAGTTAGAATTAAAATTCGGAGGCAGCCGGCAACCCTTACGGATTTGCAATGTGATGGAAGCCTCTCTACCTCCTGCTACTCTTTTTAGTAATTTATCGTATGATATCAGACCGATAGCAATACGCTCGCGCCGATATAGCAAAGATGATGAAGAATTCATAGAATTAGAGGTAAATAAATTACTTGAAGATGGGGTTATTGAACCAAGTACTTCGCCGTGGCGAGCCCAAGTCCTTGTTGCAGGAGGAGGTCATCATAGAAAAAGAATGGTCATTAATTATGCGCAGACCATTAATAGATTTACGGAACTCGATGCTTTCCCGTTGCCTAATATGGAGTCCATAGTAGCTAAAGTAGCGAAATATAATCACTTTAGTCAAATTGACTTAAAAAGTGCATATCATCAAATAAGCATTCTTTCAAGAGAAAATCCATTTACAATTTTTGAAGCGAACGGTAAACTTTACCAATTTACTCGTATCCCATTTGGTGTAACAAATGGGGTAGCTGCCTTTCAACGAGCTCTTAGCTACGTGATCGAAACTGAAAAATAGAAAGGAACATTTGCGTATATAGATGACGTCACAGTTTGCGGCAAAACAAAGAAGGATAATGACGAGAATTTGTCGAATTTCATGAAAGCGGCAGCTAAATATAAACTTACGTTAAATGAGCAAAAATGTAAATTTAATACTAATGTTATTAATCTTATTGGATACAATATGCAAAATAATGTCATCAAACCTGATCCCGTCCGCCTGAAACCATTGATGGATCTCCCCCTTCCAGAAAATGCCGCGGAGTTAAAAAGGGCACTAGGTCTCTTTGCTCATTACTCAAGGTGGATACCAAAAATTTCTGACAAAATCAAACCATTATTAGAAATTTGTACGTTCCCTCTAACTGGAGTATCTATTACTTCTTTCGAAAGTCTGAAGAAGGATATTCTCAAAGCGTGTCTAGCGGCAATAGATGAAAAAGCAACCTTCACTGTCGAGGCTGATGCCTCAGAATATGCTATTGCTGCAACACTGTCTCAAAATGGTCAACCTGTAGCTTTCTTTTCTCGCTCTTTAACACATTCTGAGAAACGACACGCAGCTATAGAAAAAGAAGCTGCTGCAATTGTAGAGTCATTGCGTAAATGGCGCGACTATCTTATTGGACGCTACTTTAATTTAATCAGGGATCAACAATCCGTTTCATTTATGTTCGATCAACGACACTCTAGTAAAATCAAGAATGAGAAAATAGAACGTTGGCGCCTGGAATTATCCTGTTTTAAATACGATATAATTTATAGAGCAGGAAAAGAAAATAAAGCAGCAGATGCACTCTCTAAAGTGCGCTAATAAGTAATAATACTGATTCTTTGAAAGCCCTACATGTAAGGCTCTGCCACCCTGGCATAACAAGAATGGTACACTGGGTGCGCTCAAAAAATCTTCCTTATTCGATTAACGATGTTAGAGAAATAACTGAGAACTGTCACATATGCGCTGAAATTAAACCCAGATATGTACGCTGTAAAGGAAATTTAATCAAGGCTACAGCTCCTTTCGAACGACTAAATATAGATTTTAAGGTGCCGTTATCTTCAAAAACACCAAATAAATATATATTGACTGTCGTCGATGAATACAGCATATTTCCTTTTGCGTTTCCCTGTAAAGATGTTACCTCCAGCACCGTCATAAAGTGCCTTCATGAAATTTTTAGCCTTTTTGGCACGCCTATGTATATACATTCGGACAGGGGATCAGCCTTTATGTCACAAGAATTTTTGCAACATTTGATTTCTTTGGATATAGCCTCCAGTAAAACTACTCCATACAATCCTCAAGGGAACAGACAAGTTGAACGTATGAACGGTACATTGTGGAAAACTATTCTCCTAAGCCTCCGCTCCCAAGGATTGGAAACTCCTGATTGGGAAAAGGTATTGCCTAACGCTCTACACGTCAATACGTTCTTTACTTTGTACTAGTACAAATACCACACCCCATGAAAGAATGTTTCTCCACCAACGTCGTAGTCCTAATGGAGTCTCCTTACCTGGATGGATGATGTCTCCTGGCCCGGTACTTATTAAAAGAACAGTTCGAACTCAAAATTTGATCCCTTGGTACAAGAAGGACAGCTGCTGCAAACTAATCCAACCTACTCATACATAAGATACTCAGATGGCAGAGAAGGAACCATATCCAACAGATATCTGGCACCATTGCCACCCACTAACAGAGATAGTTCAGATTCAGAATCAGAAGTTGAAAATGAAAATGACATGCCAATCGAAGATGAACAGCAAGACTCTGCTCAACCTAATGAGAGCGACGCTGGTGTACGCCGCTCCACAAGACTAAGGCAAATCCCTGCTTACCTACAAGATTACGATCTAGGAGGGGGGTGAATGATGTATTAATCTCTATTAATATTTCATCTTTAATTTAATGTAATAATCTCTTTGGTAATATTTACGTCTGTCATTGACGTCTTTTATGCTTTATGTCAGTGCGCAGTCTTTTATGCTGAATAAAGCCTAGTTTTCTCAAGGCTTTGTTTTTATTTAGAACAGAGTGTTTGGCACAAAATGTATCGAGTCAGCTTTTTCGACAAGCTTCTGTGAGCTAGTCAACACTACAATAATGTCTCACATCCACTTGGCCGATATAGTGAATATGATAAAATTAAGACCTGTTAATTCTTCAGTTGCGCAGACGTTTGTAACACAAAATAACACCTATTGTATTTCACAATATCCACTATGAACGAATTTAAAGAAGAATTAAAATATGACGCCAACTCGATGAAATCCCGCCAATAACTCTTGACAATGGTATTCTGACATGATTCTCTAAACCTAAACTTAAATTTGACAAAAGTTCATCCATTGTCATTCTCTATACAGAATGAAAAGGAAAGACTGATGTTAAATTTAGTTTTAAGTTTAGAGAATCACGCCTGAATCGGCACCATTGACACTTAGGGTGCGGCCAGAGTGCACTCAGATTCAGAGTCAGATTCAGATTCTGAAAACAAGCGCGAGAAATAAACAGTGTAGTCTAAGCAGGTTGCTTGCTTTTTCTCGCGCTTTGTTTTCTGAGTCTGAATCTGAATCTGAATCAGGAGTGCAATCTGGCCGTACCCTTCGACTACACTGTTTATTTCTCGCGCTTGTTTTCAGAATCTGAATCTGACTCTGAATCTGAGTGCACTCTGGCCGCACCCTTATGCTCTTATTCTGACAGGAGTACAGAACACACTGATTTTTTTTGTCTATTTGTCCCTTTTGGGACGGGCAAAGGATTCTAAGTGCACACAGCATTGTTAATTTTTTTATTAGTATTTTTATGGCCGTAGTTTTCACCATTTTGGTCTTTCCTCAGTATAGTAGTTCTTCAATTCCCATTTATATATCTTCGAAAGTGTTAATCACGTTGTTGGACAGGATAGGATATGTATTGGTGTTTTTTAACAAAGGCAATTGGTTAGGAATGCTGGATTTTTGGTATATCTGAGTTAAGCCTTGATGGCTTAACAAA